ATTACACTGCGTTTCGTGTTACACCTTCCTACATCGAATAAAAAATGCACTCTCCATACAAAATGCTGAAATCAAACCTTCACTGCTTTATTTGAACCAACTGGCATCAAAATATTTATTACAACTGTTTCACTAACTTCACTAATATCACTAACTAAGAACACTGCACGCAATATTTGATTATAAAAAGCATCAGCAACACACACTACATATGTATACATAATATATTATAACTATTCTACATAGTCAGTACTTAGATTAATGTAAAACATTCATTTTCACGCTGTTTTAGGGGCCAATTGCATTATTGACATTAACTTGGTAATCCTGAGGATAATTATGTTCATATGAGTGACATCAGTGACATGTATGTGTATCTCACGCGCACGTTCTGCCGTTCATTGTCATACATGAAATAGACTAATTAGCATTAAGCTAATTATCAAATATTGTCGTAGTCTTCTGCCTCCTTTTGAACACGCTATCATTAGGTGTTCCTGTAATAACCTACGTTATAAAATCTAAGATTCTAAATTACACACCTATTCTTCTAAATCGGCAATAAGTAGAATATATGAACTTACAATACTAGGGCACTATCGAACTGTTTTGATGGTGGATTTGGGAGGTGGCTGATGTAAACCAACGTTACCTACATGTAATTGTATCTAATCCGAGCTCATTACATATTTCCATTTCTCCTGATGACGAGGCGAGGGCTTAACGTGAGTACAAGCAACATTATTTTTATCACAGTTCCACTGTGAGCGTATGGTAAATTGTGTATTTACTTTGTAAGATCGTCAATTTTCGACTTCGTAAATCACACTTAGAACTTTTTCCGCACGCAGCAGCCGGTTAGTCCAGTCACTTAATGTCATACACCAACGACACCGTGTTTTTTCTTTTATTTTTTAATAAAAGGATTTACAAATGCTATGTTTTCATTTTTGCCACGTAGTCCGAGTCCGATTTTCTTCAAGAAATGTGCTTGATGGAGATACAACAAGTTCATCAAAAGTATTTTTGCAACCAATGCTATTTGATTCGATTCTGAAATTAATTTGTAGGCCGAAGGTCTAACGAGTAGGACGATGATAACGAAGAACTTCCAACCCAAACTTTTGTAAACTAAAAATATTAAAGGAACAAAGATACTTTTCTATTCTCTCGATATTCTTCCAATTTCTCTATCAAATATGTTATTGAACTTATGGCTCATTGTGTGACTGCGGTGTCTCGTGTAAACCAAGGGATGCGCTGTGTGATGAAGATGAAGTTTGGATAACAATATCGTAACAGAAGATGAAAGTTATTAAAAAAATCAATTGCACAAAGTATGTTGGGAAGAGTTTTCCATAATTGTATTAAGACTACCTACTCAACTACATAATATAAAACAATATAGGTTAGGTAGTATACAATAGTTATTAACGAAAATTCAACCGGTGAATACAATAAGGCATCGATCCTGTGACCCGTCACACAACAACCCATTGATTGGCTAACCATGCACTACATTGTTAGTTAAGTTTGTTTGTAGAAACCTAAGTATAAAGTATTGATTCTGCATCCATTTTTTATTTGTTTCGGTGTTAATGAACAGGAAAAGTGACTCAACAAAAACCACAACTGTTGAACCTGAACCTGAATATAACTGCAGTAAAGTTGGTAATTGTACGACTACTGCAGAATATGTAGTTAGTAACCTAACTACACAGTGTAGTTGTGTTTATGACACAAACGAAGATTTAAACTAAACAATAGAACTGTAGGCCATTAAGGATAATGCATATAAATTATTTAATATTCTGTAATAATTTAGTTCACTAAATTATTGAATAATTGATTGATTTAGAATCATAACTTAGTTTATACAAGTCAAATCGAACGTTTGAATAAATATATATTTTGTAATTGGCCTTATATTATTATGGCACTCCGAGTGATTTCAGTTTCCGAAATTAGGCCTCCTCTAAAGGCTTTAGGCATTCCGTCCTGCCTTTAAAACTTCTGAGGGAAGTGGAAGCTATGCGTTCATGACATTCAGTGCTTAGCTGTTGTGGTTGTGTCTACTGTAAATCTTCGTTTGCAAGAGTTACAGCGATTATGAGAGATTGTGGCGCACATATCCTTTATTGTACCGTACGTCCGTATTACAGCCGCCGAGAAACATTTCCATAAAAACATTGCTTTATAGGGCGAATCAATATTTGAATTTCGTTTTAAAACATATTTAGAAGTCACTTAGTAAACATTTTTTTTTAAGGGGGGAAAATCATCGAATTACTGCTCCCGCCTGGGTGAGGCGGGAGGGAGTGTCAGACTCACTGACTAAAAACCCCCCCGTTCCTTCTCCTGCACGTCGAGCCGGAGCCCCGGTTACCCGTTAGGTTCTCCGCGACACTTAGTAGGCCTACCTCGACCTCACAGTACCCTGTGGGTACTCACAGCAGCGTAAAAAAAAATTTGAAGCGTTATAAATATTACGCACTTTGAAGTCGAAATATTATCTGTATAGAGGTACATTATTGCTAAGTAATGTTTATTTTAACAAATCATTATTTTTGTACTCGTTACAGGTAAATATTACAATTTTTTTCATTGGTAATACTGGTTAAACAACGAACGAATGTTTTAATCTTTATATTGCGTAGATAACGTTTATAATGAGTGTTGCGCATTGGACATATCTCATACAACCACTGGCTGAGAGTGCTTGACATGCACATCCTGTATGACTGTATAACGTCACTTCCTCCGAGCAATCAGCCATTTTACAAGAGTATTTACCTACTCAATAAAACAAAGGGTATATGTAAGTAATTCCATTTCATGAAATAACACGGTTTGCGGAACGATCCACCCTAAGGAAACTATACGGTTATTAAAGATCAGTAATTTACAAGACAGGTAATAAATATTGTTTTTAATTACAATATTACTTCAATGAAAAGAGTAAACAAAAATGTAATACCCTACTGGTTATATACTAGTTATAATTCACAATTTATTGTTAACGTGAAATAAATAAAAGTATATTGATACAACTTAATGATTCGTTAATTCATATAAGGATTGTTGATTTTATCTGGTTTGGTGAATGAGTTGAAAACGAGGGACAACAACTGCGAATGGTTTATTTAACAATTAAACTGTCAAACACCGCGAGGACACCGGTGACCGCAACCTATTGTTCTATAATTGTGTCTATAATGACGGTACCCAACAAGTTAAAGGTGCGTCGGTGCCGAGCACTCCTCTGTCGAATCAACGTTTAGGTAACCGAGTGGATCGTTGATGTCTTTTGTAGGAGCTACGCTCGGGGTTACGAATATAGCGTTCCTCGACCGACTGAAATGTCTTTGTGAATTTATGTGATAACGTAATTTAGTTGTTTTAATTAGTAAATGGATGCAATTTATAGGTTCCATAAATTATATGGACTTTGAATGACTTTTACGTTCCACATTTTCAATAACACCTATTGTAAAATGTGATGTTAATAAAGAGAAAAAATGATTACCTACATAAAGAACTTAATCATGTAGGCCATTAGTAGTTTTTTATTGGATTTGTTTATCATCAATACTGTAAATAAATTATGAAACGTTTATTGCAAAGTACCTTAATTGGGGAAACAACATGAAAGTGATATTCCTGAAGTATCAAATTATGTTTGGTCGCTTTATCAGAGACTCCAGAACATATAGGCCATTTTAGGCAGTGCCCGTACACTGACTCTCTATATCTATATCACTAATTATTTAATAAAATGGAGCTAAGTAAAATCAATGGAATATATCCAATAATCAGATTTATGATACGTAACAGGGACACTCGTTGTATTACGCACGAGTCAGTTGGAGGTACAGGATTGGTTCCAATCTGTTACCGAGATAAAATATTGGTATTTTAGAGTACGATCTGTGATGTCTCTTTACCAAACCTCTATACTTCTTGGGAGAAAGTGGTGATGTTTATTACATTCACTTTAACTTTGTTGTAAATAGGCTTTGTGACTATGTTTGTCAGTGTATGGCACTGGCAGCGCTGCTGGCTGGCTGCGCCGGCTGAGCGGATAGTTGGGCCTACCACTGGGCGCGCGGCCGCCGCCAGCCTCCAGCCTGTAGCCATCCTCGTCCTGTCCATACTACCTACTACTATTTCATAATAACCTAGACAAAATTACCTATGAACGTGAAAAATACATCACTAAAACAATTCCAAATTTAATTCTGGCGTCGACGGTTACTATAGAGGTAGGTAGGTACTATTATACTGTCGACGTGTACTGCTTGCATCGTAAATCTCATACAAGTATTGTATTTCGTGTCTGATTTTATATTTACACATATTTCGTTGGTTTTAAAAACTTTTAATAAGATAATGCAGGACTTTAATTTACATGTGTCGTGTACCGGCCGGCGGCCGCGAGTACTTACATACTTATAGAGTGATGTTGTTGCCCATTATACTGCACTATTGTGCATTTTCTTTGCAGTTCGTTACAATTTATTTTTTCATCGGTCGCTTAATGCATTCGGTTTACGATTATTTTTAGCAATGAGAACACTTCTCATAAATCCTAGTAGGTATTTAGGAATCAAAACACAGGTTCGTAGCCACTTACTTTAATCGTATTTTTACAAACATTGTTCATATAGGACACGTACTTACATGTAGGTATAGGTGATATCAATGTCAAAGCCAAAGTATTTATTTCAATTAATCCATAATTTGGTACTGTTGTAACGTCAACAAATACAAAATAAATAATAGTCTGTCAGTCGGTCAGTCAGTGAAGCTGGGTATATATTATATTAGAAGGATTTATTACGTGCCATTCGTCGATTCGTTTAATGGGTTCTATACACAATCAGTGCTATGTTGTATGTACATATTCCACGTAAGATATTTATATGTATGTTAGATAGAGTCTGTATAGTGCACTCAGATAGACTCGGTGCGTGCAGTACGAGAGAGTAAGGTGAGCTTACCTTCATCTCCAGCTTGACAGCCAACACTTTGATCGTTATTATCTGCTGCGGCTCACAACAAAACAAAACATCAGCATGTGCACACCGTCATTGAACTGTCAGCACGTGGCACCAGGCACGAGGTGCGGGTGCGCGCGCGCCCGGACTCCGCGAGACTGAGGCGGCGGGCGCGCGTCGTGCCGGGGGCGGCGCCGCGTCCGCCGCGCGCCCCGCCTATTGGATGGCGCCGCAGTAGCCACGCCCCGCCGCCACCGTGCCTCCCTCCCCCCATCGGCTATGTAAACGTGTTCGACCGACGCCATCGACGTCCCACCGAAAAATTACTCCTCACTGAATTAATAGTTAGCCTGTACCGTGTCGCGTACACAATAAAATATCGCGAACCGGCTCTGGCCGTGATGTATCTCATTTCAATTATAGAGAGAATTTCTGATTGAAGACCGCAGCCCTGTCAATATTTCCTACTCCACATTTGCATGTACTGGCAGTAAAACAGTCCAAAGTCGCCTCCAGCCACACTATATTTGATGACAGTATACCCTCTATCGTGCTCGGGAGCGCGTAGCGGTTAGTGATAGTTCCCTATAAGTTATCCAATAGTAAATAAACGATAACAGTTATGTTGGCAACCTTTCATCCTAATGGTTATCGAAATATTGTGCTGAAATCATGATTTTCAGTAGATCTATAAGATAGTCCGCAATTCTACGAAAATACAAAGATAGATTAAGTGCATGCACTGCCTGCCTTCCCTAGATAGGTAGCACACGTACCTCTATACTCTGTTGTGGTGTAACACATGATATTTATAATTGTGTTACCTACAACTAAACGTGCACATTGCAGCAATTCATTTTAACCCACAATATTACAACAAAACCACAAATGCTTGGTAAATATGCTTGGCTTGGCCGAATTGACGGCTCGACTGGAGTGATACCACCACAATTACCCTCCCCTTCTCCAATCTCCCCAATCCCTGAAGTCGCAACGATCCTCAAACTCCTAATCCCCAAAAGGCCGGTAACTTACTTGTAACGCCTCTGGGATTGCAGGTGCTCATGGGCTCGATTACCGGCTTATGCAATAAAAAAATAACCAATTAGGAATGTAATATTTTCAACGACTGCTTGTCACTGTCCGATTTTGCTGAGAAAAGGCCTCTTCTCATACGAAGAAGTCCTTATTAGTTACCTACAGTCCCGGCGGACTTCGCACTATCTTACAATTAAGTAGGTAATGTGTAAACATTTTGATACATCTCTTGCTTACTGTTACTATTTGGTAAAATAAGTATTTCCATACCAAAGTTGCCCAAATCGGATCAGTCATATTCGAGTTCTAGCGAAACTAATGAAGACCCATTTATTTTTATATTACTTTTTTAACCGTACATATTATGTACCTAAATAATATATAGATACCCAATGTCGGGTGTTCCCCTAATATGGATCGGTATTAATGCTGAGTAAACTCTCAAGACATCTAGGTACGGAGAATTAGAAAAAGAGAAGAAGTATGCGTCGAGGAGGTAACCACCGTGACGCCTAGCACACGAAATCCCGCCTGCATCAATTGCAGGCGGACCTTTGGGGCCACGAGTGCGTACAGTGGGACTCGAGGTGCCCACCCTGTGGTCTCAGGGAAGACGGTGACACAGTGGTCACGTGCCGCCGTAGACAGCAAGGCACTCGTCTCTCTAGGGATGTGTCGTAACAGGCGTTGCACCGTGGAGGCTCCGGAGCAGGTCTCTTTTAGAGGACCCGGTGCCTTTATACAGGTGTTGAGGGTGGCCACCGGGGTGGTTTTAGTGAGGTAAAAATCCCACACTCCCTAGTCTTTTATCCCCAAAAGGGCTAGGCGCCTTTTGAAGGTTTCCCCCTTTCATCAAAAAAAAGGTACGGAGAATTACCGCAAATATAGATAAGATGCCCATAATACCTATATCTCATAATATATTTAAGTGACTCCCTATGGTACTTTAGGTTCGCGAATTCAATAAAAATCCTAAAATCAAATACGATGTAACTTTTGATAACGACCTAATTCTCAAAAAGTAGACTAACGATTGGCATAATGACATAATAAGCCCCACGGGGCCACTCGGCCTACGGAATCGCAGCGTGGCGCAATAGACGAGCTAAACCAAAATACGCATCTTTTTGAGACACCCTGTATAAAATAAAGGTAAGGTCGCTACAAAGATTAGACAAAAGACTGTCTGATGTCTGTTTGATTTGTATATGTGGATTATAGGTACTGCATATGCCACTAAAGAGAAACTTATGAGGTATAACCAAGATATTGAGGGTAGTTATGTACGAATGTACGCAGTTAGGTCAGTATGCGTGACACTCGCACTTACATCTATTGACAGTGCTGTCCTAAGATGGGTTCAGACGCGTATACTACCGTCACGATAAAGTAGACTAGATATATAGTACAAGTACCGCCAGGAAACATAGGTTAGTGTGAGTTGTAGCCAATTTGTTTCATCATCTGTGTAGTGATTGATCAAGCCACAGCTGGCCGAGCTCACTCCCTGCCTTCAGACGACACGAAATAAATTAAAGTTTGTCTACTAATCCAGATCCCATTAATAACCGCTTCAAATTGTTTAATTATAATATAATTGAGCATTTAGTGAGCACTCGCAGACGAACCAGTTTGGTTTATGGCACATTTCTTCATAGCTGCTACGAATATACATATATATTTACATACCTATCTGTAATATGTACCGACAAACAAACCCACAAGAAGTAAAGATAATGATTTTAATTGAATAATATTGAATGCTTCGGATCCGTAGTAAAGTAGTGAGGTCGGCGTGTCGTCGAGTGCGGGAGTGTGAGCCATGAAGTAGATAATGTCAGGGATTAGTGGGTGTCGCGCAGTCGCGGCGCAATCAGCGCTCTTGTGCCACCCGGCGACTCGCCGCGCCGTTTCGCACCCTCTCACACAAATACAGAAGTCTCAGCAACTATAGACTAGTTGTCTGTTGTTTTACAGCTTTTTTATAATATTTTTGTGTTTTCAATTAATAAACGTACATTAAAGTCCACAAATCCCCAAATCCTCAACAATCCTCAAATGCCTAAAAGGTCGGCAAAGCATGTAACGCATTTGTAGCGGCTCTGGTGTTCCGGGTGTCCATTGGCGGCAATTGCATACCATCAGGTGATCTCTGTGATCGTCGAACGACTTAATCCCATAAAAATATATTACTAGAGTTTTAATGCCCATTTTGTGTCAATTTTAATTTATTTCGAAGACCAGAATGAAAAACAGTACATACCCCTAGAACAATAGAGGAAAGATACTATATACTTGAATATAGAAGGAGAGCACGGCGGCGGTGTGGTAATGTACATGTGGAGCATATCTACTGGCGCGTGCCTGCGACGCGGTGCCCGTGCGCTCCGAGCTCGTCATTAAACGATTATTGAGTCGGTGAGGAGCGCCGAGTGTCCTCCGAATCTGGTTCATGTCCCCTACGACACATTTAATACGAAAATTGCTACAATGAACATCCCCTCACTTCTGGGGATGTGAAGTTTAACAAATTACACATAAATACTCAGATACCTATGTGTGTAGGCACGCAGTTGTACCAGTGTGATTGTCCCAAAAAATGACAAATAGGTGCCTGCTCCGTGACACAAATGTGATGTATACTCTACAAATAGAGTTAACTGTAACTTGCATCGTTAGTGTCCACTAGGTAACGTTATCACATGCAAACAAAGGACGTGTGGTGGCTGCAGTGATCACGTGATCAACCTAAACCGCTGCCCACCCGGCAGAATACTAAACAGGCAGACATTACTCAATAAAATATTCTGTGAACTTGCTGCTCCGTATTCCGGCCGCGAGCGGACCGGCAATTATCCGGCTTTCAGCGGAATATCCGGGACCGCTTCCGGCTGCCGGCGCACTTTTAATTTGACACTTGCGTTTTTTTCGCTTCATCGGAAGGATCTGTGTCGAGACGCGGAATATCAATATGATTGCAGTTATTTTGACAAACTTCTGTTCTTCGTTACTGAGGGGGAACATACTGCCTTTTAAACTGGAGCATAATTTCGATGGCCATTCCTTACTGAATAATAGGCATCCGCCGTTAGATACTACCTTATGCTGTTCTGTTACAACTAACCTAACCTAATCATTTTATTTAAGTCGCATATTTCATATCGAACAGTCACTGGACAAGGATTTGAAAGTGTGTCCCATAGGTCATCAGCAGAATCACACAACTGTCAACCGGCAGGGTATGAAAAATTGTTTTAATTTTGTGAATGTCACACAAGAAACTTACATAAAACATAATTATAGTTGTAGTTAGAGCTCGATAAGTGATTGACGAGTACAATATTCGCCATAACAAAACAAAACAGAGAACAATCAACCTGATTTACAGAAAACGAAGATACAATGAAACAAATATTGCAAATGAAACAATAAATATTAAATTTAAATCAACATAATGGAACATTGCGAGACTGTAACACTGTTTGTCGCCATGTCCTGATAATTTTATTATTGAGAAATATTTACGGGTAAATTTTACAGTAACGAGAGTAATCAAATTGATGCAGAAATACACCGTATGAACAAACTATTGCAGATGTTTACAGTATATAATTATTAATTCCAATTAATGCCAACCAAATTATAATGATATTGCAAATATCGTAACATTTTATAATTCTAGTCTTAGTATTGAAGGATATCAATAACTCTGTGCTCACGTGATACCCACACACACACACACACCTGTCAAATTGCTCTGTTACTTATCTCGTACATGATTCTTCCCTAATATTTCTCTTTTGTGTTTATTTAACTCCCAATTACAAGTCTTTTGTATACAAAAGTGTGTCAACCGAAATATGACAAAATAGCGATTGAGCTTTGTTTACAAATAACTAGCGGGTATTGTTGTGACGTCAGCAGTATGATACCAGCTGCGCAAGGACAGAGAGATCCTAATCTCCTGCTCCACCGCGAGATGATGCGAACACAATGACAGTCATGCCAATTACTACTGTCGCCGCAGTCAGCAGGTGCGGGGAAATGAATACGTCGTGACATCAATCTAGATATTGGTCCTCGTGGCTCGGTGCAAAG